CCTAAAGTTCTTGGCATTTTTCCCTGATAAAGTTAAACAATGTTTTTTTTCTTTTTATTGCCACTTCAGTAGAAAGCAGAACAGAATATCTGAATATTAGTATCTTAGTTTCTTCATCATCAGTTTAAGTCTGAGTTAAAAACTCATCTGTTTAAACAGGCATTTGAGTCTGAAGAGCAGGATCATTAGGCCAGCCTTTGCTGTTTTGTTTGATTTTATTGTTCATTTTATTACTGTACTTTGTTCATTGTTTTTATTTTATGCTCCTGTACAGCACTTTGGTTTTTATTGTGCTTTATAAATAAACGATGATGATGATGATGAATATTTACTGTGTGCAGAATATTGTCACTTAGTGCCTTACTGGGCCAAATGGGAGTCACCTGCAGGCCAAATTTGGCCCGTGGGCCTTGAGTTTGACACGTGTCCTTGTAGATAAGTGACACACATAGGAACAAAATGTGTGACAGCTTTCACCCTCAACTGTGAACAATAATGTTGGTCAATAACACTTATAGACCTCAGTTAGTGCTTTCTAAATTTAGCCCATAAATTTAGAAAGTGCTAATCCACTAATAAATTTTAAATTTAGCAAAAGCCCTAAAGGACTAATTAAGAAATTAGTTCCCCTATTAGTGTTTTAGTGGAACTGTGCCCACCACTGCAATCCATCCATCCATCCATCCATCCATCCATCCATCCATCCATCCATCCATCCATCCATCCATCCATCCATCCCCATTTCTTCTTTTCAGGGTTGTGTGGGTCACTGGTGCCCATATCCAGCAGTCACAGTGTGAAGGGCGGGGTACACCCTGGACAGGTCGCAAGTCCATCACAGGGCCTCACATAGACGAACGAGACAAACAACCATTCACTCTCTCACTCACACCTAGGGACAATTTAGAGTTAWCARTTAACCTAACAGTCATGTTTTTGGTCTGTGGGAGGAAGCCGGAGTACCCGGAGAGAACCCACCAGTTTTTGTTGCATAAAAAATTCATATGTGTGACAAACATTGATTTCTTCCAGTTTTACATTTTCCTCAGTACGGCTTATAGTTTGAGGCTTACTTTCTGCTCTGTTTTTCTTCCTGCCTGCAATATTGAGAGTGCTGTCAGGGAGTGAAAGACATAGTTTTGTGGTTAGCACACCTGTGTCTTTTAGCAGGTTTAGTGTTTCTTTTGATCTTGGTTCTCTTTTGACTTCTTCAGAGGTTTTTCTATCAAAATGTCAACAGTCTGTCAGCTTAGATGATTAAAGTCTCAAGTCTTTATAAAAGAAAGTTAATAAGTGTTGTCAATTTGGGCAGTAGCTGCATCAGCACCCTTTAACATTTCTCTAGAAATTTAGATCAAAGTTGCAATTGTTTCATTTTCTCAGCATCGGGTTCAAGAGACACGTGTGAATCACCGCTCAGTAGTCTAGCTGTGTTTTGGAGCAGCTCCAGCTCGGCTTGCTGTTTTTTTTTTTTTTTTTTTGTGCAGACGGCTGTCAAACTGGAAGCGCTCCACCAAACAAATCCTCTCAAAGTGATATTTGTATCTGCTCTGAAGCTCAGGTCAGTCCTTAAGTGGAAAGCCTTGTAGCTTTCCTGCAGAGGTTACAGAGCTTGAGGGCCCTCCATAATTGTGCTCTCCCTTTCAGTCTGCTCCGCCCTGGAAGACTCGCCTCTTAATTCCTCTTAAATGTCCCAGGTTTTTACATCCTAGTGCAGCTCGATGCCTTACTTACCATGTGCTAGAGTTACATCCAGGAATTCACCGTGAAACCCCCTTTTCACTCGGGCTGGGGACAACACAGATATCTGATGACCAGTGAGAAAGAATTTGTAGTACAGAAGCTGATGTGAGGCATTGACCTATATGTTACAAACACTTTTAGTTTCAGCTAAACTGTTTAACTCAACTTCTATGTTTTGTTTGCTTAAGATAAGAATTTAGTCTAAAATTCTTCATGTTTCGAACAGCGTTTGCTTTTAGATTTGCCACCTTCAGGCTGATTTCATCTCCTCAAGCTCCCTGTCCCCTATCCACTTACCATGAGTCCTCTGTTTAGAGTAACATAGAGCCCTCTTTAACATAACTCTTAACACATTAAGGAACAAACTGTTCAGTCTGTGCTTTGCAGCAATTGAATTCTGCTGAAGCTCACAGAACATTTTTTCTTTTTGCTGACAAAAGACAAATATGGAAATAAGATTTTAGCCACTGTGTGTGTCTGCGTGTGCGTTCACGTTTCTCTGTTACCAAAATATCTCATGAGCCACTGGACAAATTTTAAAGAGACTTTTAAAAAGGAATGGGGTCATCCGGTTTAATGCCTGTATTGCGATCCGTATTTTATTTTTCCATTTTTTTAAAAAGACACTTGAAGGGGGAGCCAAGCATTTTTCATGAATTTCCTTATTAAAAACATGGGTACTGTGAAATATACTGGGGAACATAGTATAGCCCCGAAAAGAATGGTTGGATGTCCATCTCATACATGTCGAGTTGTACAGATTGTCTGTAATTTACATGGATTTTTTTTGTCATTTTGCAGGTATACGGGTGTATAAAGCAATTTCAGATTCTTTCATGTTTTACTGAGTTTTTCAAAAACTTAGTTTCAAATTTATTTAACATGTCAGAGCCTGTAGGATGTTAAAAAAAACCCATCAAATAACTATCTTCCCACCCACTAATTTCCTCCTGATAATGCTGCAGCCGACMGTCCTCCTGCACCTTGTCTCCTCCACTCTGAGGCTGCTGACCTGCGTGTGATTAATACAGATTTTTTTTGCGAAAATTACAGATTTTTTAGGCTCATTATAAAGGTAAACGTCCGAAGGGGTTGACATGTATGCCATCTACCATTAATTAACTTTGGTGTTCGATTCAAGATGGCTGCCAAAGCTAAATGACTTTAGAAACCACAAAGATACCTATAACTCAGTCAGTTTTACAAGTAAGAGGCAAAAATTAGCCTTGGTTGTAGCTAAGATTCATTATGCTACCTATGGCACAAGATCCTTACTTAAAACTTCAGCATTAGTGTTGGAGTCAACTCTGTTTCTTAGCAAAACATTCCATGAACTGCTGGACAGATTTAATCAAAACTTTCATAAAGTAAAAACTAGCTGCACCCTTTGGAGTCGATCCAATCAACATTATCCAACAAAAGTGTCAGTTTTACAGATGCTGAGCTAAATAATGATGTGGTTGACATCACATAACATCACATGAGATCATTAGTTTCAAAGTTTGATTCAAATGCATGTAACTCTATGTTTTTGTTCTGCTCTCGGAGAAGACACTTTTTCCTCTCTCTCCTGCCCTCCCTTATCTTCACTGCTTTGCTGCTCAGAAACTCTATGTTTTCATCCGAAACCAGAAATTATGGATATTTTTATGGATTAGGTTAGCTGGTCTCTTAATAAATTTATGGAACAGTTTTTTTTTTCCATTGGAGGACATGTYAAARGTGGGACCTCTGTTCTGCTCTGTTCTGAATATATATTTGGATTCTGATCACTGGATTCTACAGATTGGCTTGGTGGTCTCCTGGTGTTCTACAAAGCAGTGTCAGTGGCTATTCAGGCCATTTCCTGGCTGCCTGACCAATATGAAAGATTGCCATTCTTTCAGCACTCATTTTGCCTTGAGCGAGCTGGACTCAGTCTGCAAGCGGTTCTGCTGAGGGTCGCGGGCCAGCTGTGGTCCCTGGACTTTGCTGGCCAGATGGAATTGATCTTGGAGAATCTGATAGCTCGGCTTGGCGGAATTGTCCATACTATTTGTCTGATTGGATTTAGCACGTTGAGATGTTCCAGCGGACATTACGGCAGATTTAAAATTATTATTGTCTGCCTGACTGAAAACATTTTCTTCTGTTCCCAAACAACTGATTACAGATTTGGCTCTCCTACATGGCCTTGAAGATCTGTGGAACTAAATTCTCCTGGATGTTTAAGTTGACTTGTGGCTCGCTTCCCCAACTTCCCCCCCCTCTCCCTCCCATCTGTGATCTGGTTCCTGCAGCAAGCTGAGGGCCGCACAGAATGAACAGTTAACGTAAATATTCTGGAATATGGCTTGGCGGGTTTTGGGGACTTGATTCTTCGGGCACATTTTTCAGATATTCGCACAAGTGCATACAACACTCATGGCTTCAGATACACAGCCCTAAAACTCACTTACTTCTCTGGCTAATAAATGTGCTCTGTGCAGAGTTTTTTTATAAACACCATAGTGTGTCACATTGTTGATATAATACAATGTTTTATTTTGTTTTCCCTCATCTTTCCTTGTGTGGTTTTTCGTTTTTCTTTTAAGAGTTATGCCTCCTCATGATGTCTTCATGAAGATGATCCTTGCTCTGTGCAGGGATCAGTGGTTGCATGACCCAGAGCACCTGTTCTCCTATGTTTATGTTCTGTCTTCTTCTGAATGGTCTTATCTTATCTTATCTTATCTTATCTTATCTTATCTTATCTTATCTTATCTTATCTTATCTTATCTTAGAACAAAGGTTGAACTTAATTAAAACTCTGGCTTGAAAAAGACAGTATGGATTCCTTCATGGAAGGCTCTGAACAAAACATAAACAAGACAAATAAATGTGTTCAGATTTACTTTTAGAGGTTATGAGTTTGTTGACATAACTATGTTTCTGAAAACAGCCTCAACTGAAATGATATGGATCTGAGGTCAGCGAGTTTGTGCTTTCATTGTTGACTTTTTTCTTTTCAGGAGCGAGTGTCCCTGCAGTTTCCTCGGTGYAGATTATGAACCAGGAGATGTAATCATGACATCAGCAGGTGTTCAGTAAGATCCTAACTTTGAGTTTTAAAAGCATTTTTCTTTTCAGCTTTTGCATTTTTACATTTTGTATACATAAGAGTGAATAAATAACATTTTTGACATGGATCCAATTTTGAATATTATATTATAAATAACATACTTCATTCTGAAACTGGGTGAACCCTAACAATAATGGCTAAAATGATTTAGATGGGTTGGATTTCCCTTAACCTTCAATAAAAAGTGAGACATGCAGAGTAAAAACATACGTGTCTTCAGTTCTTCAGGCCATGTCCTCGTATCACTCTCTTTATATTCTGTTCTTAATTATGTGACATTTTCAAATGAAGCCAAGGCCAAAAGAAAAATAGTGACAGTAGGTCATATTTTAAATTATTTTTATGACAGAGCTATAARAACAAACTGAGTGACCTGATGAATCAAACAAGGATAAATTAGACAAAAGCAATAAAAGGAAAACTTAGATGACCCTAACAGAGCACAACACAGAAACAAAATAAAAACTCAGCAAGAACCTAAAGGGTTACACAAATGTTCAAACATGACATAACCTCATAAACGTGTGGTCACCAGCTGATGGCTCATGGAACATAGACCACTTTTACCTAAAGTCTAATAAAGTTCTTGTTTGAATCATCTTGTCTGACATACTCTCATCMTGTCACTTCTTTCTCTGCCCCCCACCTCCACCGACACCCCACACAGGCTCTGTTTGAATGGTAAACTGGTGTCCCAAACTACAGAAACAGGTGAGGCTCTCAGCACAACAGCGTTTCAYTGTGACCCTTCAGGCTGACGAGGCATTACTGGTCTCATCTCACCAATCTGTGCTTTCTTCTTCTCTTCTTGCAGACAGGTTGTGTCCACTGGGTCAGCAGTACCAGAACTGCTCCGAGACGGAACACAACTTCCCGTCGAGAAGGGGCGTGGCCTGTGAGCGCACCTGTGAATCCTACCTACTAAACATCACCTGCTCTGCACATGAGCCCTGTGTGTCGGGATGTGCCTGCCCTCCCGGGTGAGTGACAGCTCGTTGAATGAATAGAAACTAAGATAATTTGATGACATCATACTTTGTACATAAACTGTGGAATTATTCATTTGCTAGTTTAAAATTTGTAAGGTGAAACTACAGATTATCTGAAGTTAAATATCTGGAAGGTTTTAATTCTAGCAGTCTATAAAGAGGTGGTAATTTAGCRTTGTTTATCATCAGTGCAGTGACATGTGGTGAGGTTCATGGCTGGTGAGGCACTCAGTCCAAGAGAATCAGATTTACAAGTATATGAACCATACAAAACAACATAATCAGTTGATCAAAAAGAAAAAACAAATAGGTCCTCTGGATGGGTTCTTCTTTAGTGAAACGTTTCATCTCTCCTCCAAGAGACTTCTTCAGTCTGAGAGTTTCAGGTGAAACCCTGCCTCCACCTGGACAAGCAAGTTAGTCACATGCAAATGAGGGCCATTGACTTAACAACAGGCTTAATTGGATCTATTGTTCATAGAGGGTCATGTGCCCCATCACCTGACCTGTGTCGTGTTATGTGTATGTAGTGAATGCAAGCGGGGGTTCAACGTCCCTCACAACAACAAAATCCCAGAATTTGAAGCAGAACAACTTAGGTCGTATTCAGACCTGATAATTTGCTCAGCTTTAAACGAACCAGAGTTCGTTTCCAGCATTGGTCCGGACCTTTTGTGCAGGTGTGAATACACTCATGCGAACTCTGGTGCGGATCAAACAACCGGACCGAGACCTGCTTTTTGAGRTGGTCTCGGTCCGCTTCCAAACGAACTCTGGTGTGGTTCGCTTCAGTTTGCTTCTGGTGTGAATACAGACCAGACTCTACTGCATTAAACATGCACCTTTTTGGACTTCACAGACCACCATTGCAGAGCTAAATAAACTGAATACATACCTGTTTCATCGTCTCCTGTTAGCAGCTCTACTGCCGGCGTGTTGTGGGTTAGAACAAGCAGAGCACCTCTTCTCCTTTGGGTTGCGGGACACATTTACTGACGCCGCTCCAAAATTAGAATATCATCACGGAACCACCATTAAATTAGCTGCTTCTGACATTTTAAATGCTATTGCAGTTGTACTAGCAGCAAAAATGTGCGCATCAGAACTGCAGCATGCAGGACTTCCTTGTTTTCTTCTGGATCTGTGGCTCAGTCCCGCCTCCGTCCTTTTTTTGTCCAATGGGAGCAATGATCGTCAGCCTCATGGCTTTGTTCACAAGTTATAGTTCATTTGCAAAAAAACACAATGTGAATGCAAACAGCACCAAACGAAAAAAAAAGAGTCCACTTTTGGTCCGGACCAAACAATTGGACCAAAGGACTTTCCTGGTCTGAATACACTCTTAGGAACAAAGTTTCAGCCTGTCTCAGCAATGCCAAACCACCACCTTCCAACATCAGTAGAGAAGAGAGAGACGCTCTCACCACCCTCAGCAAGGACAAGAACATCATCATCCTCCCAGCAGACAAAGGAAGGTGCACAGTGATTTTGAACCAGAAAGACTACCATGAGAAGGTTATGATACTCCTTAGTGACACAACCACATACGAGCCACTGAAAAGAGMTCCAGGAAGTGKATACAAGAAGAAGTTGATATAGAGTCATTGGATAAATGCTGGCTTTGTCCCGCCCATCTGACGCTCAGYGTCTCTGGGGGTCTATGGGGCAGTGGGCTGSCCTCGGCTGGCCCGGACGCTCAGCTTCTGCATRATGACTGGATGATCTGTCGGAGGCTGAATCCCTTTTTGATTGACAGCGAAATGAGCGAATCAGCGATCTTTTGTTGTAAACATTTCGTGGGAGCATTTTTTACTTTCGTTTCTGTTCTAAGTTGAACCGGAGACTTTATTAATCCTTTTAGCAGCATTTTCTTTGTTAAAAATGACTAGCRACAAATGRAGCTTCTATTTCTGGTGGTTGTTTTGTAGCTGCTTGTGTTTGGAGAYTCTTTCTGACTTSTATCRCAGTTTCTGTCCAGCGGGTGCTGCTGARCCCCTCCACYGTTATAAAGCACTCACAGGCGGACACACTTCACASTAGCCTCGYGCCAGTAACAAGCTGMAYGTAATGGCAGACAGTTTGAATGTTGTGGACCGGATTTTGGAGAAGCCATTTGATAGTCTTCCTTAGAAAGAAAAACTTAAAGTTAGACAGCAGGGCTCCTCAGATTAATTTGGTGCAAAAGGTGGGGAAAAGTAACAGGTCTTTGCAGCTGTCCTGGTGTGACAAAGTGAGCTGGCTGACTAGAAGTGCTGTAAAATGATCTGTGACAGGGTCACAAATCATTTTCTTGAAAAGGAACTGAAGACATAGAATTTATGTATAAATAAAACGACACATTTTATGATTTAGGCCAAAACTGAGCTTCCCCTTCTTGAAAGACCAGCATCCACCACTGCTTCACACATATGAACACCATGACAAAACTACAATTATGGATTAATGAGTTTTTCTATAAATTACTGGGTTTTTATAATGTAAGTTAGTTTGAGAAGGCTGCTTTGGCACCAGAAAAAAACTTAATTTCAAGATGCATGACCAGCTGGGGAATGACCCTCCAAGGCCAGTTTGGCGCAGCAAATAAGTTACACTTTGAGCTTTTTTGGAAAATGGAGTACTTATTTTAATTTTTTTTTTCACAAAATAAAATGTTTAATTCACACTTAATTTTTCATGAGGTTTCACAAATGTGGTTCTTTGGTAACAAATTCATATGAAGACTGTTTGTGAGTCTGTTGCCCACAAACAAATTGCAGATTCAGTTGTGGCTAATTGTCCTCAAAATGATGTTTTTTTGGAAGGAAAATGTAGAGGGAACCTGTTATTTTAAAAACATGGACATGATGTAAACACACAGAGTGGATTCCAGTAATCTGATCCTCATAATCATATCTGGTTTTGAGCCTTGAAAGAGAATTAAATCTTTCATTTTGTGACATCAACCAAATGTCATCATAACAACATGCTAAGCCACACATTCCACCTTGAGACACCTTTGCAGACATTTTTTTCATTCATGACAGTTTCATACCTGAGAACAGTTATTTTTTTTAACTTTATTTTGTTAAAGAGAATCAGCACCTAAGGGGTTTAAAGAAACTCAAAACCTTGTATGAAACACCCACGTTCACCGTAGCTCCTCTTCCTCATGTCTGTCTACAAACAAGATTAGTTTAAAATGTCTTAACAACCTGAAACAGAATATCACAGAGAGAAGGTCAGTGAGGTGCAGAGATGCTGACCTCATCTCTGTGATTCATATGCTCCTGTTTGTTACATGAAGCTCCATGACCTTTGTGGTGACTTCAGCTTCTAACTCTGAAGTCCACTATAAAAGCACTTAATAACCTGAAACCTGATAGTTAACTATTTTAGGGGTAAATAAGAACACAACGAGGCCTCAGTCACTCTGTGAGGACAGCTGTGAACAGGGATGAAGAGACGTCTACAGTGACCTTAAAAAGTAGGGATGTCTTGAAACTAGTTTATCTCAAACCGTGTACAAGTACTTCAGTTTGGGTACTCGCCCAAACCTAGTACAGAGTACTTACTGAATTAGAACTTAAACATTATACACTGACATTATACAATGACTCAAGATGAAAACAGATGTAAGACATTTTAACTTCAGGAGGTCCTGACARAAGTATTCATTAGATTTTTTCAGTCACAATGAGGGACTTTGTTTATGATCAAAATGTAGACTATTCATTCATTTTTTCTGTGTCAATTAACCCAGATCAACTCATAACTTATAAGAACCTGAACTTTCTTGTCAGAACTGAAACACATGAGGCTACTAGGACTGGTTTAGTTTGGATTAATATTTGGGAAACATTTGAAGTGTCATGAGCAAAACAAAGTTCAGTTAAAGAGGACTAATTTAATTTGAAACAGTTGAACCTGTGAATCCATAACTGAGATCCATAAAAAATATATTTGGAACAGAGAATAGTGCATAAAGGTGCACATAATGTCCAGACTGGATCTGACACTGCTTCTAGATGTTGAAAGAAGAAAGTTTTGTTCCTTAGACTGATTTGGCCGACTACGCAATGCAACATAAACCCTAGTTGAACTGTATTGTCTTTGCTCCATTCAACATCTTCCTCTGCAACTTTTATTTTGTTTTGTAAAGCAAATTAAAAACAAGTTCTCTATTTCTAAGGATTTGTTCATTATAAGTGCATAGTTCTGGTGGACAAAAGATTGAAGGATCTTTGATCAGAGTAATTGATACAGCAACTTGGCCTGCAGAGAAAGGAAGCTGTTAACAYGGTTTTATCTGTGCTGTAACTCTACTCAGATGAACCTGAGGACCATTCAGAGTGTCACTTCATTGTCTGCTGCCTTGCCAGATGATATAGCTCAGCTCTGCATATTACAAGATACTTATCAGCTTCGACATGCAGGGTGGAAAGCAAATGAAGGAGTTCAGACAAAGACTGCGACACTCTCTATCTCTGAGAATCCTAATTGTCTGGTTTTCTCATGTAACTAATAAGTGTCGTGGCTTTTCATCCTCAGCAGCCCACCCCTAAACCTTTTTCATTTTCTGGCATCGTTTAGCTATGGAAATTTACCTGCTTTGGCTCTGCATCTGTCATTCTTTGGAAAAAAAAGAACCTATTTGAGTTAGAGATGAGCACAGGAGCTCCAAATGATGGGAATATGTTGATAACATGTTGTTAGTCAACAGTTTTTTTTAAAGATTTTTAGCTATCTCTTTGAGTTTATGTCAACTTGAATTTATTTATATGGCACTTTTCAAATGAAGAGATACTTAAAGTCAAGGGTGGAGATTTAATTTCAATGTTGGGGTCAAAGTAAACAAGGAAATATATTCAAAACAGTTTTTGGGTGTGGTGATTTGTGGGTGCCATGCCACCTGCAGGTGCTGGTCCACTGGGTTTTATAAAATCAATGCAGGACTTTACAGAGCACTTCATCCTTCTTTCTGCTGACAGGCTTTATGGAGATGCTGATTTAATTTTCCAACAAGATTTGGCTCCTACCAACACTGCTAAAAGTACAAAAAGCTGACTGTGTAGTATTCTAATTTACTGAGAGTGAACTTTGGGTTTTTATTATTTGTAAGCAATCATTTTTACAAAAACAGCCTCACAATGTCTCACAATGTCTCACAGTGCTTCAAAATGTCTCACAGTGCTTCAAAATGTCTCACAGTGCATCACAGTTTCTCTCAATGTCTCACAGTGTCTCACAGTGCTTCAGAATGGCTTACAGAGTCTCACAGTGCCTCCCAGTGCTTACAGTGCCTAACAGTGTCTCACTGTGTCTCACAGTGTCTCACAGTGTATCACAGTGTATCACAGTGCTTCACAGTGTCTCACAGTGTCTCACAGTGTCTTTGTGAAAGATTCAGTTTTAGTTTCTAGTTTAACACAAATTGTATGTCTGAATTTGTATGTTTTAAATAATTAGAAAATAATAATTGATAGTGATAATTGATAGTGACTTATACAAATGTTGAATGACAGGCAGTGACCTCAGTTTTTATTTCAGTTTAACATGAGAAAAGATCAGAATATCCAGTTCTTTATGTCTCCAAGACAGATCTGGAGTTTAAGCAGCAGATGAGAGGGAAGCAGATCTCTTTTGATCACTATAATTAACTTTTGAACATAGCAAGGGCTTGTTATTGATACATAGAAATCTGCCAGACAGTTATAACCGAAACTGTAATTTCCCTTCATGGGATCAATAAAGTATCATAAACCAAACTAAACGTCCATGTATAACAGTTCTGAGGTCAGTAGTGATGCAGCACTGATATCCAATACAGCCATTTGTTAAAATTAAATACCATAGTTGTTTCATGCTGCTACAGTGAATGACACTCAGTCAGTTTGTGTTTACCTTAAAAAATTCACAATTAATTTAAAGTTTGCAGAAAGGATTCAAAAGCAAAGAAATGTTTTACATTGTTCTGAACTAAAAAAAAGTTTGTATTGTAAACATTTCATATGAAACTTGCAGTAAGAACAAATGTATTTTTTTTCCTTCAGACTTCTGAAACACGGAGAAGAGTGCTTCGAACCTGCAGCTTGTCCCTGTTTGTGGAAAGGAAAAGAATATTTTCCTGGTGACAGAGTCTCCTCTCCTTGCTATCAGTGGTATGCTTACACACTTCATTTCAGTTCAATTTAATTCAGTTCAGTTTATTTATATAGCACCAAGTCTCAACAAAAGTCATCTCAGGGCACTGAACACAAAAAAACAGCAAATCTAAAAAAGCCAGCAGATTGTGTTGTGTGTTGTACCTCTCTGTCAACGCTCTCTGGTTTCATTTAAAAGAGCCACTCGTCAAATATTGTCCAAGATTAACCTTCAGGGTGGATATAGCTCGCTCACACTGAGGACCTATCTACGTCATCATTTATCCAGAATGCTTTGTGTGTAAATAAAATGGCTCCGTCCGCATTAAAATAAATTTTAAATAATTTACTAAATTAAACATCCTACAGTAATTTTACAGTCTTTATTGTACAGTTAATATACATGTTTATCAAATAAAGTCTAATGTTACAACTAATCATGGATCCCTTTAAAGAGTTTTCAAATCTTCACATCAATATTTATTCTGTAAACTAAAATTATGTTCCCCTCTTTCCACATGATCTTTATTATGTATCTGCCTATTTTGTTCTGGGGTAGTTTCAGTCAGCTCATTTTACCATTTTATTTTGCCAATAATCTGGAAAAATGTGTATTAGGATGAAGACAACTCTCCAACAACTTGACTAATTTTTCAAAGCGAGCCTGAAAGCACTTTGTCCTGAGGCTGTCAGAGAGGTGAAAGTTACCACCTGATATCCATAATTCTCTGTTATCACAGGGAAGAAAGACAGCCCGGGAAACAGAGAAGGCCTTGTACAATTCTCTGATTCCATCTGCTTCAAACTCTTCATCACTGAAGGAAAAAAACTGAACCTCCCAGTAATCTCAATCAGTCTCCCCTCCTTTCATTGCTTCTCCAAGCCATAGGCAGGGAAGACGATAGAGATGACAGACTAATGGTGCAATAAGTGGCGATTCAGCATTTGCCAATTCAGTTGCACTTTTCAGTAAGCCTGGGCTTTCCATAGAGCCCATTAAATGTGCAAAAATGTATTTGCAATAAGTGGGAACAGGTTTAGATAAAATCATTGAAACATTGCTGTTTTTGTAGTGTTTGCCAACATGGGACGTTCCAGTGTGTGTTTCCTCCATGTCCCTCCATGTGCACTGCATACAGTGATCGCCACTACAGGACATTTGATGGGCTGCTGTTTGACTACGTCGGTGCCTGCAAAGTGTATCTTGTAAAGGTAGTAAAAACCTGGTATACTTTAAAACATGAAATTATTTGTTTAGTTTCAGTGAGTAATTTGTAAGTGAATGGGTTTTCAAACAAAATGCTTTATATGAATTTCTGTTTAACAAGGCCTGAAAACAATTTTAAATGTATTTATTTATGTTGTTGGATATAGGCCAATTTTTCATTTTTGTTTTGTTAGCTAAAAGAAAAAACGAAATCTCTCATGATACAGCGTTTCTTACTTCTATTATTCTATCCATTCATCTATTATCTTTAYTCACTTCTTCCTTTCTGGGTCATGGATATTATTGGTGCCCATGACCAGTTTCACTGTAAGGAGACCGGKGGTATGTCTAAGTACAGGGGCATCCCCTTCCTTAGCCTTCCCAGTAAGGTCTACTCAGGGTGCTAGAGAAGACAGTCCGATGGTCATACCTTAGATTCAGGAGGAACAATGCAGGTTCCATCCTGGCTGTGGAACACTGGACCACCTCTTTGCACTCACTAGGGTCCGTGAGGGGTCATGGGAGTTTGCCCATCCAGTCTACCTGTGTTTTATGGACTTGGAGATGGTATTCGCTGAGTTCCTAGAGGTACACTGTGGAGGGTGCTCAGTAAGTAGGGAATTGTGGGTCTGTTGTTACGGGTCAATCAGTCCCTATAAAAGTGGTGCGAGAGTTTGGTTCACATTGTCAGCGGTATGTTGGACCCCTTCATGGTGGAAGGTGGGCTCAGGGCTACCCGTTTTCACAGATTCTGTTTATAACTTTTATACACAGAATTTCTCAATGCAGACAGGGCATGGAGGGAGTTCGGTTCGGTGGCCTTAGGATTCCGTCTCTGCTATTTGTGGATGATGTCGTCCTTTTGGCGTCATTGTTGCATGATCTTGCAGATGAGTGTGAAGCGGCTGGAATGAGGATCAACACCTCCACACCTCCAAATCAGAGTCCATGGTCTTCAGTTGGAAAAGGGTGGATTTCTCTAACCGGGTTGGGGGGTGAGGTTCTGCCTCAAGTGGAGGATTTCAAGTATCTTGTGGTTTTGTTCATGAGTGAGGGAAGAATGAAGCATGATATTGATAGACGGATTGGTGCAGCTTCTGCATTATTGTAGACTCTGTACTGGTCTGTTGTGTTGAAGAGGGAGCTGAGCTGTAGGGAGAAGCTCTTTGTTTACCAGTCAGACTACATTCCTACCCTCACCTATGGCCACAAACTTTAGGTAGTGACCAAAACAACAAGATCGGGGCTACAGATGGTCAAAATTAGATTTCTCTGCAGGCTAGCTGTTGGGGATGTGTAATGTGTATCATTAAGGTTTTATCAGTACTACTATTCCCATCGATATTGCTTATTGAGCCTGTATTTTAACAGTCCTCTTATCAATGCTTTTCTGTGACTAAAACCAAAAACAAACTGAATATGCAATGCTTTTATTTTAAAACAATGTAGAACATATTATAAAGCCAATTAATTTTTATTTGCTCATGCAATTGTAATCTGCATTGCATTAACTGTATGTCAGGCGGTTAATGCGTTCGATAAAATGCCATTCTATCCAAAATGGAGTAAGAAGATGTTGAATTTTTTTATGACGTTTGAATGTGAAAAAATTTGAATTTTTATTTTATTTTTTTAATCTAATACAAATCTTTTCAGTATTTTTTCAGATTTTCTGTCTTTTTTGATCCAGATACATATCTGATGTTTTTCAAAGCGACCTCAGTCTGAACGCTTACGTCTGACTTATTTCACTGAGGTGGGGCTGAGCGGATCAATCCAGATGCTGTTTAAATCTTTGAAGCTCCACGTCTTTGGCTACAGAACAGAAGTCCAGTTGCTTCATCCTTTTTCTTTTAATTTTCCATGTCCTGAATTACTGATAATCCACAGAAAAACACTATAGTAAGGTTGAGCGGTTTTGGACTGTATTGGTGCTAAAGTTACTCAATCTAGAATTTACTTCCAGCATGTTGCTTTGTTACAAAAATAAAATGCTGCACAGGAGCAGCTTACCAGAGGCAGGTTCAGATATAAACACTGTACTAAACAAGCATGTCAGATAATTGGCTCTGATTGCAGGAAGGAAGACAAGATCCAGCACAGCAGCAAAGCAGGAGAATGAGGGAGGCACGGGAGAAAGAGCAGAAGCGTCTGATCCCTCCAAGAGCCAAGCAGAAAAAAAAACCCAACACAACGTGCTGTGTTTCGTGCTTGACATGCCACTATTCCTGTACCGTTAACAAAAATGTTAAGGCTGGAGCTTATCAATCTGGTCAAAATGAATCACGCTGAACCTGTGCTGAAAAAAATACTGGGTTTTGGTACCCATCCCTAGTAGCTGGACTTTCCCTTAGAAATAGGGTGAGAAGTTCAGTTATCAGAGTAGAGCTGCTGCTCCTCCATGTTGAAAGGAGTCAGTTGAGGTGGTTTGGGCGTCTGATGCCTCACCTCTCTAGGGAAGTGCTTCAAGCATGTCCAACTGGGAGGAGACCCAGAGGAAGACCCAGGACACGCTGGAGAGACTGTGACTCTCAACTGGCCTGGGAAAACCTTATAATCCTCCCAGAAATGCTGGAAGAGGAGGCTGGGGAAAGAGAGACCTGAGCCTCGCTGCTCAAGCTGCTGCCTCTGCAACCTGACTCAGAATAAGCTAAAGATAATGGCTGAATGGGTATATTGTTTAAAGCAGAAAAGTTTTAAGAAAATTAGCATCAGAGATGTGGGATGCAGGAAAAACTGATGCCTGATTAAACACAGTTTAGAATCTACAAACTGTATCTCCTGTGATTTATAATGACCTTTGTCTTCTCTGCTTTCTCTGGTCCACAGAGCAGTGCTGAGGTGATGCTCAGTGTTACAGCTGAAAACGTTGACTGTTTTGACACTGGGATTATTTGCAGGAAATCCCTTCTTATCAACATTGATCGATCCTTCATATTGTTTGATGATGACTCTGGAAAGCCAGTAAGTCGCTTATTATGTTTATTTTTATTTTTGTTGTAATTTAAATACAAACTCAACATCACTTTTGTTGAAATCTCAGTTTTATTTTAATTCCTGTGTGGTAACTCACTGGATATTTGAAAGGGTTTCTGCAGCATCAAACTTTTCCATCTCGTATAGAATCCATCCAGTGTGATTGACAGGAAGCAGCAGATGTTCATCTGGCCAGCAGGATTTTTTACTGTGATTCACTTCCCAGAAGAAGATGTGACGGTTCTGTGGGATCGTAAAACTACTGTTCATATCCAGGTTGGGCCTCGATGGCAGGTAGGAAGATGTTCCTGAACTTTCTTTTTTATCTGCAAACTGCATAGGGTGATGAGTTCAGCCGATGCCCCACTGCTAAGTAAAAGCTAATAATAATAATAATAATAATAATAATAATAATAATAATAATAATAATAATAATAATAATAATAATAATAATAATAATAATAATAATAATAATAATAATAATAATAATAATACCAGTGAACACCAGAGTCAGAGTTTATTTAATTTTATTTGTAAAAACATTTTTTAACAGCTGCCTGTGTCACATTCACTTTTCTGTGTTATGGTTTTAATATTATTATTTAAACACCCCAAAAAAATAACCATGAGGAAAAAGAAATCTAAATCATTTGGGGAATAACAGAGGGCTCAGTTCTGCTCCTAGTGGACAGATTCTGTACTGCAAAAAGGTAATAGTCGTGCCTAAAGAGTAGATGCAAAACATATAAACAGTGCCGATAAGGGAAGTTTTAGGTGTTGAATTGTTGCAGTATATTTCATGAAAATTTGCCGTTAGGTTACAATGATGTGAGGATGTGAGGAGCTGTTGGTGATGTGTTCAGGGGAAAGTGAGTGGTCTGTGTGGGAACTTCGACCTGAAGACAGTGAATGAGATGCGAACACCTGACAACATTGATCTGCCAACACCACAGGAGTTTGGGAACAGCTGGACGGCAACAGAGGTGAGCAAAATATCCACTTCTTCTACTTATCTGTGGTAGGTTCAGGAGGGTGTGAGAGCTGGTTTATAGGAATATAAGCCTTTCCCACATCTCTCATACACAAGGTTATGAGGAAATTATTTACCCACAATTAAATTGTTAATCATTTTTTGTTTAATTTATGTAAATAAATGATTGCATATCGTTTATGGATCAAATTGAACTTATCTGAGTATTCCACTTATTGTGTGTCCTTTTCACTTCGCACAGTCAAGATATTGACGAAGAATAAGAAATTCCTTGGTAAATAATTTCCTCATAACCTTGTGTATGAGAGATGTGGGAAAGGCTTATATTCCTAAAAGCCAGCTCTTACAAGGGAAAATTGGATCTTCCTCTCCTGCGCCTTCTGGAGGATCTCAAAGTGTTTCCAGACTGGAGAGAATACATAAACTCACCAGTAAGTTTGAGGTCTGCCTCAGCATCTTTTTGTCAGACATGCCTGGAAAACAACTAGAGGGAGGCTCCCAGGAAGTGTCCTTATCAGATTCTGAAACCACCTCAGTGAACTCCTTTCAGTGAGGAGGAGCAGCTACTCACGTTGAGCCTGGCCACTCTGAGAATTATTTACTGTTATTTTACCAGGCAAGTCCCATTGAGATCTCAGATCTCTTTTTCAAGTGAGGCCTGGGCCTGAAGGCAACCTATTGTACATGTTTTGSGGGGTGGGGGAAACCAGAGTACCCAGAGAAAACCTACGCAAGCACAAGGAGAACATGCAAACTCCACACAGAAAGACCCCAGGTCCGAACTGGGGATCGAACTCAGGACCTTCTTGCTGTGGGGTGTCGGTGCTAATCACTGAGCCATCTTGCAGCCAGAAGAAGGAACCTCATTTCAGCTATTTCTATTTGGGATCTCTATTTTTTGGTCATGGTCTTCACATCATGGCCACAGGTGAGGGATGGGATGTAAACTGAGCCTTACCTTTCACCACAGCCTCTTCTTCACCACGACAGACCAGAACAACTTCCTCTTTACAGCAGGCGAGGCCCCCGTTCATCTATCAAACTTGCTCCATCCTACAATCACTCATGAAAAAGACCCACAGATACTTCATCAACTCCATATTAGCAAAGCAATTACCTTCTGAATTTATGTACATTTTCAACAAAGCTGTGTTCAAAGTGTCAGTTTCTCAAAGAAAAAAAAAGAAAACGTTGTGCCTGAATAGGAGAATCATATCATCACTCATTCACAGCTCCATTTCATTTAAAGTTTAGTTAATTACTTGTTGAGTTTCCTTTGTGGTTTAACCGTGTTCAGACTGACTCCTTCATGTGTCTTCAGTGTGTCAACAGTCCAGACATCAGACACCCCTGCAGCCTCAGTCCCCTCAGAGAGCCTTTTGCAAAGCGTCAGTGCGGCGTCCTGCTCAGTGAGGTCTTTCAGACCTGCCACCCTGTGGTGAGTTACACAGCAGCTATGGTCCTCTCCTGAACCAATGGCAGCTTTTAGTCAAACTGATTTTTCATTTACTGCAAACTAAGATGGGAAAATATTTTCTGATGAGCTGAAAAATGTGACAATTCTATTATTTTCCCTAGGAGGCCAAGTGCTGGTCATATACACTCACCGGCCACTTTATTAGGTACACCACGCTAGTAACGGGTTGGACCCCCTTTTGCCTTCAGAACTGCCTCAATTCTTCGT